GTGGTGGTGGTAGTGGTGGCGGCGGTGGTGGTGGTGGTAGTTTTTGTTACTATTAACAATACCAGTGGTAATCGCATTGTTGTACTAGTGTTGGTACTAGGAACAAGAACAACAATTACTGTTATTCCTTATTGCTGTAGTTGTGATAACAACTGTTATTGCCTTTTTTATATAATCAGCTGATAATTAGGGTGGACCCGGGGGTGCGGGTTTTGGGACAGGGATCTTTTGGGCCGCCTTTCGGGTTCGGGACCCTTGATTCAACTCCATTTTCGGGGCTAACCGGCAGCTCAAAGACAGGCACAGGTTGCAGGATTTGCAACGGCTTCGCTTTTGGGGCTTAGGGGGGTTTAGGATCTACGGGCACCTACGAACAAGCACAACACATGGCATGCATAGCCATTCCTGGCTTCAGTTCCGCTTGTTGCCCCAGATGGCTCTGGGATGAAGGCTGACCGGCGCGCGGGCTTCTTTTCTAAACGACTAAGGGCTGGCTGGCAGAACCACCACAAAGGCCAAAAGGAATTGCAACGCTTAACAGCCCCTTACAAGACCCTAAACCCTGAGAACTGATACCCTCCGCAGCAACACCGGCACCCACCCGCGAGCACTGAGCATTTCAACCACAAAGTCTCGTCCGACATCGTCCCAGAAGCCGGGCTCGCACCGGCCTCGTTCTGCTCCGCGGCACGCGCCACGGGCAGTGCGCGCGTGGTGGAGCTGGTCTCCTCAGGACCTTCCCGAGTTTTAGGATGTGGGCGGCTGCAGGGCTGAGGGTGACAGGCAAAAGAATATGGGTTTAGGGGTTTAGGGTTATATAAACCCTGCAGCTAAGCCAAGCGAACCCCAAACTGCACACGCTGCCTTCACTCTCAGTCTCCACCTCTTCGCGCCACATAGGCTCGGGCATGTCTGACAGCTCCTTTGAAACTTCAGGGCAAGAGGGCTATGTCGGACTTCGGAGTTTCAGGGCTTCCTAAGTCTGGGCTTAAGAGTCTTCTTCTAAGGCACTTCAACGTTCAGGGCACTGTAGTCTTGAGGGTTTCAAGATTAAAAAAGGTGTCCGTGACCCAGCTCGGGACTTCCCCCATGCTTTGGGCGTGAATGACCTTAACGCTTGAGGCATCGTTGTGGCAAGGGAGCTTGAAGAGCAGCTCTGGGTTTGCTGGCTTTTTGGTGTAGGGGCCACTCGACGTTGTTTGCTAAGGCTTGATAAGCTTTTAATTAAGGGCTCAGGGCTTCGGCACAGGAGCAGTGCCTGGCGAGGAGGCTTGGAATTTTGGGCTTGGGTTGAAGGCTCCGGGGAGTGGAATTGTTGCGGAAAATTCGCCAACTGCTGCAGCTTGGGAGACGCAATGTGGAACCCCCCATAGCAATGGGTGGCTGCGTCGTGAAACTGCACTTCGGTCACGATTCCTCATCCCGAAAGGCTGTCACACTTTCCTGATCTGCCATGTTAGTTTGCTCTTTCTCGCGGCAATTTGCTGGCCCAGGGTCTGACCAAAACCCCCTTCGGATTTAAAGGTGGTCTCGTCGAAAGTGGAAGGATCCACCCTAAACCCTAAACCCTAAACTCAAACCAGTCCCCTCTGATCCGCTTCCTGCCAGAGGCTGCCGAAGGGGTCCATGGGCATAGCACCGCTCGGCATCCGTCCTCGGGACCAAGCAGTTGCTTACCCAAGGGCGGTTGACAAAGAATGCTGTGTTTGAAGTTTGAAGATTAAGGATCATTGTTTTCCACGAAATCTCGGGGCTCAAGTTCGAAAATCCTCCCAACCGAAAACTTCCGGAACTGTCGATGCCGGGCAGATTGGCCCCATGGCAAAGCATGCATTTTCTATCATTCAGCTCGCTCCGTCTGGAGGGTTGTTTCCTTTCAGCAGGCAGGTGTGCCGGTAAGCAGCACATACAAAGTACGCTGAATCCCAAACCCTATCCGATCAGGATCCCACCCTCTAGCTTCAGTTAGGGACACGACACGAGGAGGACGACTTGCTTGCAACTTGCTCCACATCTCACGCGTCGTGATCAAGATGATGCATGCCCATCTCTCCGACTCTGTATACATATTTCCTATGCACACACACACGCGCATGTGTATACATATGTATGTGTGTGTATATATATATATACACACACACACACAGATATAGACATATAGCCTACGCATGTGCATACATGCATAACCTACAGATATATATATATATGTATATGTACAAGGGATATATGTACAGAAGGGGAGGGTGTACCGGCTCTGCGTTGTCCCAGCTGAGCCGAGCCGCTCAGCCCTCCCATGAGGCTCGTCGGATGGAGGCCTGACATCCCCAATAACAGGGATCCGTACCAACATAGAATCGTAATAGCAATAAACAATAATCATACTAATAGTAACGATGATAATAATAGTACTAACATACTGAAAGTGAGGCATATCAACAGCAATAGTTTAACCAACCGTAATGATAATGCCCACGCAAGAGATACTGGAGCCTCTGGGAAGCAACGGCAGGATTTTCCAAACCAGAAAAGTTTATGTCCTCCAAGGCATTCCAGGACCAAGATTCATGGGCCCGCTTACCAAAGCACCCTGTCTTGATCTCCGACATCTCTTATGATCCACCAGCGCTGAAGTTTCCCCGACACCCCAAGAAACCCTCACCTCCTCGAAGCCGGCTATGGAAGTCCTTCGGGTCCCGGGGCTTAGTTTTTTTTTTTTGGGGGGGGGTTAGGGTTTTTGGGGATTTAGGGTTTNNAGGGTTTAGGTTTGGGGTTTACGGTTGATAGGAGTGGGTCATGGGCTATAGTGTAGTACAGCTACACAGGGATTATGAGGCAGTTGGTAAAGACTAAGTATTTAACCCTCATAAGGCCACCAAGGGACGCAAGTTTACCAACGCGAAAATCAGAGTATTCCATACCTTCTGAAAGGTTTGGTAACTTGGTAACGCTCACTTATTCAGCTACCTGAACCTAAACCCTAAACC